ACAAAAAAATAATAATTAAGGAATAATATGTAATAATTTATAATAAAGAACTAAATAAATTAACAATATGATGTTAAATTCTGAAAACTGATTTATATACATCATTAGTTTTATTTATAACTTTTTTTAACACATAAGAAGAAAATATGGACAAAAAGAAAAATTTAAAAAGTGAGATAATATGCACATTATAGAAATAAGATAGTAAATAAATTTACATGAAATACTTATAGAAATAAGATGATAAATAATTTATATGAAATAATTTAAATATATTAAGTATGTGTATTTATGGTAATTCATACCTAAGCTATTTGGAATTAAAAAAAAAATAGTAATTTTTATCCGAGTAATATTACAAAGTATAATATTTTTTTACATAAAATTATAAAAAAAAAACGTAAAATCTATACTTATATAAAGAGCTATCCTATTTACTAAAATTAGTAGAAAAAATTAGTTCAGCATTTAATGTAACCCATATATAGTAGTTTTATTATTTTTCTTATTTTTTCTATAAAAATCATACAATTTAATTTTTTTCTTTAATAATACGCTTTAATATATATGTATATATGGTACTTTTTGTAATAAACTTGAATAAAATGTGTTACTTAAATATCTAAACAATTTAAAAATTCAAATGTTTAAATTAATTGATAAACAATTTATAAATCTCTATTTTATTTAAATATGTAATTTTATTTAAAATAATTTTAAATATATAAAAATTTATTTAGAAAATTGTATCGATCATACCAGTTCAACCAACTGGTATTGACAGATTCAATGACAAATATTGTATTCAAGTGAACTAGATTGATTATAAACTGGTTCTCGGTCCATCCGGTCGGACTGTGTCCAACACGATTTAATTTAAAAACGATGGATAAATCTTGATTAATTTATTTGTATATTTAATTTTATAACACAATCGTAATTTTGTTTTCTCGTGCATCGCACGGGCCACGCACTAGTTGTCACTTAAGCTCAACAATAAAAAACGTGAAATTGTCACTTAAACTCAGCGCGTTTTGTAATTATATATATGTGGGATATTATATGTACAAATTTCTTTATTTGTTACTTCTACAAATATATTATATTATATTTGAAAAGAGCTAAAGAGAACTAAAGCCAATTAATTACAGAAAATTG